AATCCCTACCAAGACTCCATTCTCAAGAACCCTCAGTAAAGAGCATCCCCGAGACCCTCGAAGACAACATACTCTCAGGTTAGACTAATGTAAAAACCCAAAACAGGAACTTTCCGATCTAATCAGCCCAGACGAGTACGGCAACACAGGTCCCCACTTTCGACAGAGACAGATATATCAGGAACGGGGAAGCAAGTCCCAAGACAAGTACGTATTCAAGACAAACAGAGGATATAGGGTAAGTTAGCAATCAAAACAACAAGTACGTACACTATGGAGGAAAGGAAACTAGACAAGACCTAGAACTTCACCAAAGGTACTCTAATGACGCGACAAAAAGCACGAGTGTTTAAGACGGAAATAAATGACCTAGGCAACAGTGTTAGCGACTAAGGCAAATCTGACAGCCGAGAAACTGACAAAAACAGACAGGAAATAGGAAAAGGGTTAGGATACAAAGCATAGTGCCCACAAAAAATAAACCCCCCGTAGCAAACTACGTACAACAGACAACTCAGGAAGCCTAGGGTTTGGGGTTTTAAGAAAAGACAAAGGGCAAAAACCGCAGTACAGACAGGGTTTAGAGTACTTGACAGCAAAAGTCGAGAGAGAGGGAGGCTAGAAGATAAATCCCGCAGAACTCAGGAATTAAGCAATCTCATACAAGTTCCTTGTTATGCCCGGGTTGAGCTGGGTAGAAACGAATTTTAAGCAAACCCCTGACGCCAGCCCCAGACATCAACTCTAGCATTCAGGTTTTCCCGACAGCACTCAGCAGAGAAGAGCTAGGAGCTAGCAGACCAGAGGATCGGAAGGTAGAGTAATCAGGCTAACTTAGGCAGGGGTGAGGGGTGGTACATCCTTCCCTAGGGAAGTAATCAATGCCGTCCACTCCGGCCTCTCAGCCATAATGGGGAGGAGCGTGTGCGTGTATTCATTGTATTCATATTTGACTTGCCGGGGGAATAGGAACCGGACTGTTGCTCCCCAGAATGGCAGGAGCCAGAACCAAGAGGTTTTGTATTTGAAAAAAAAAAAAAAAAAAAGGTACTTGATCAAACACTTTTTAAGTTTCACGAACGCGGAGGTGCAGTCTTTATCCCATAGCTAGACTGTTTCTCTCTTTAGCAACTTACATAGGGGGGCAGCGATAGTGGTAAAGTTTCTCACAAACTTTCGGTAGTAGTGCGAGGTGTAGGCCAATCCCAAATTGCTGCTGCATCCTGTGGTCTCACCCAGTCTCCATCTACTACATGTCCTAGATACAACACTTAGTGCTTGGCCCATTCGCACTTCTTCGGATTCAGTCTAAACTTTGCTTCCCTCAACTTATTCAGTACTAACTGCAAATGTTCCCATTGCTGCTCCAGAGTCTTACTGAGATCGTATGTTATCTAAACTACTGATCTAACCAGTCTGGTCATTCATGCACCTTTGGAACTTTGCAGGGGATCGGTAATCCAAATGACAGATCGTCTATGTGCAGTAGTGGTTCAACATTTTTCATGGTTATTACATTTGGTCCCCGGTAGTCAATACACATTCGCAACTCGCCGTCTTTCTTGGGGACGAACAAGACTGGTGTATCGTATGGTGACCAGTTAGGCTTAATCCACCCCTTTTTTATGAACTCAATCCAATTGTTTTCTCAATTCTTCTAGCTCGCGGGGAGACATCCGGTAAATCGGCCCCTTCGGGATCTTGCTTCCCGGCTCACTCTCAACCTGGTGCTTAATTTCCCTTTCTACTACTCTACTTGGGGCTTCTTCTATGTCCGCGAACTCCTTCAACAGCGAACTGATCTGGGGTGTACCTCTTCTTCCTCTACCTTACCTTCACTCACCAGTCTAACATATACCGCGAGCATTTGGTCTGCGACCTTCTCCTTCTCTACGTGTTGGGCAAACGCGGGTGCACTCATGCAACAAAGGAAAGGACGGACTGGACTCCAGACTTATGGAAAAGTCTAATCTTTTTCTTTCTTCCGTCGCTGATGGGATGCCAGCACTCGTGCTCGGCCCAGTTTGATGTCCACCTTCGCAGCCTTCCCCCCAACCTGTGCCTAGCAGCAAGTCAAAGGGTAGGCTATCCTCCACTGAAAGAGTCAGTGAATTCAAAACTTTCTCTACGTTCTTCCCCCCTTCCAACCAGAAATATGCCCTCACCGCTTCAACATATTCTACCTTTATCCCTCTATTGTCGGCTAATTTGGACACTACCAGTTCATCCAATCGCCAAATTTTCATTCCAAGATGCAACTTCTTTAGCCCTTTTCCGCTACTATATAACTATGGGTTGATCCACTATCGACTAACGCTCCTACACACGTTCTATTAACTTCTAAATTGGCTTCTAAGTCTTGATGCCGCTTGTCGTTGCTTGATGAAGACTTCAGGTATGCTGCTCCTCAATTCCCATTCTCCGCAATCAACCCTAGCTCACCTGCGGTTCTGGATCAATGCCGGCCTCCAATTTCTCCCACGTGGTGCAACGAGAGCCCTCTCTGATACCAGTGCAATGAACCAGCTCAAATTCCACCTCAGATCACAGTTGCATGACATTGAACACTCAAAGGGCATTCGCAAAAAAACAAGGAGGCAAGTTAGCCCGAACTGAGGGGAGAACTCTTCAGAACTTTTATTATTAGACAAGGATCGAGTTCCAGTTACAGGTGGCTATGGCCGCAAACCCCGAACCGTATTGACCAGGTATCTTCATGTTCTCTCTCTCTCTCTCTCTCTCTCTCTCTCTCTCTCTCTCGTTCCGAATGCACTCACTAGTATTTCTCTCTCCTCTACAGCTATGGCCGCCGTCTTCCTCCTGCCCGGTCGTCCGTTTTCTTCATCAACCTTCCGACTGTCCAACCCGCTTGGTCGCACAAGTGCAACAGCAGAGCTTCCGCAACATACGGATTGACAAGTCATGCTCCACTGTAGCATCTATAAATAGAAGCTGAAGTGAGATGTTTGTTGGCTTCAGACTGGTACTGGTCACTGTGGCCTGTCAGCTGCAGTTTGCCAGTTCGGGAACTTACCGGATTTTCGCAGGATGCTGCTGCAAAATTGGAAGTTGGGACTTTGAACTTTCTTTGTCGGGTAACGGGCCCACGACTTCTAATGACCTCAACCTATGGGACTCTACAGATATGACCCTACGAACCGGCACTTCGGCCAATGGCCCTGCCGGGCAGTTACCTTGTGGGAATGGGACCTCTGAGACCCTGGGAGCGGGACATGACTCGGGACACTGCCTTCAGCGTGAAATCCTGTCAGTGCGGTGAATCTGATTATTAATTGATACAGTTATGAACAGGAATATTTGTCGTTATGTCAATTTGTGATGAATATTTGCATTTGTAGTGAGTCAATAGGTTGCTGAATTGTTGGTCTGCAACTTTGCACCTAATAAATAGTTCTGTTGTGCCCTGCAGGCTCGCTTATTAAACTCGTCTACTTCTCGAAGCACCCTCAAGGTTCAAATTCTTTGACAGGAATGGACAGGTGGTCAGTCTTCTCTTCCCCCAACTTCCTTGGGCATGTTCCTAATTCCGAATTATTTAGGTTTTCCTTTTTGCATGGCTATGATGTGAACATCCTGGAAGCTTTCTGATCCCATCTCTGTGTTTCCTATCACATCTGATCTGATTTCATCAGGATTCGAACACATGGTCTGTTTATTAAAAGTTCGTTACATGTGTGTGTACCGTCCAGCCACATGGGCTGGGTCGATATCATATTAAATCCCAGAAGGCGCAAACTCCTGAAGTTCATTAAGAATCTGAAGGACATATTGTGACTGGCAGTACACAGAAAGTGTTTGGGCTGAGAGTGAACCCAAATTGTTAACCATTGAGGAAATAACCAGGGTTGCATACCTGCTGACCGCCGACCCCAACCGCCCACTGTTATGCCTCGGACCAGTAGGGCTGACCGGTCGGCCGTCTGCCGACCAGTCAGAAAACATCCATCACTGATTTGTTTTCAAATTTGAGTTGGGGGCTGTACTGCGCTTGCTGAGTACAGCCCGAATCCGCTGATAAACTTTTGGGATGGGGGGGGTAT